TTGTCGACATGTGTTTACTTACGTATCCTTATGTGCGCTTTGGGAGGGCACTAGTTACATTCCGAACATTCTTTCTAACCTCAAAGTATTAAGCAAACATTTTATTTAAATTATGCGACAGGATGTCAGTCAACAGACAAGAAAATAAGTTAATTTCGTTTCCCTTGAAATGTTTAATTATTCTCAGAACAAAATTATAAACAGAATGTGCTTAAAATGCAACAGGATATAGTTTTACAAATTCCTCGAAAGTTATAGAATTAATTTGAAATTTGTTTATACATATTTTATTTATTAACATATTTGTAAAATCCCCCACCCACTTTGACTTCGATACTGCGTATAACCCACGCATGTTGATTATTGTGAAAAGTGGAAGATATATATACGTACCATAATTACAATTTAGAATGATAAATTAATATCTAAAATTAAAATTAATTTACTGGAAAAGGTCATTTAATAAGAATTTTCGAAGGATAACCTTACAATACTAACAAAATGGTTTCTGTGTATTATATTTATAGATATCTATTCTCTGTACATGTTAAGAATAAATGTTTAGGGAATTGTGATTGGGATGAGTTCTTTCATTTTTTATATAAAACGAATAACAAGCCTTGAAAAGCTAACAATGAAGTAAAGTGCAGTTATACACATAAGTGTAATTAGTAAAACCAAATAAAGATATATTTTTTTACGTTAAAAGTATGACAATGTTGCCACCTTATGCACAAATATTATTATTAGTCGTATTCCAACAGAAGCTTAGACTTGTTGCACAGAATCTTCAACTATTTGTATCTATAGCAATATAAAGTAATTCATTTAAAGATTTGTCAGCTTCATTTGTTATCGCTCTTCTCCAGATGTTACATAGTCTTCCTCTGTTTCTGTTGCCTTGGGGTTCCATAGAACTGTTGCGTGGCATTTTTCGTTGTACGACTTTCGAAAAGCATGGCCAAGCAAATTATATTTCGAACGCTTGACTTGTTTTTTGATATATTCTTGGTTTGTTCGTTGAAGTTCCATATTTGAAATTCTACTTCGCCACCAAATTTTCAAAATATTACACAGGTTGGTCAAGCTTTGGATTACATAGAGGCATTGTAAACATGAATTTTTGTTTAAAGAGATATTTCATTTGAATTCCATATACTATGAATGCTATTCTGGCTTTTGATATTCTTATATCCAAATTTCTTGTTGCGTCTCAATGTGTCTTAACGGAGTTACCTAAATAACAGAACTCATTGACGTACTCGATTGATCTACCCTCAGATATGTACAGATAGCAACATACAAATTTATTATATATTATATCGTAAATACATCATTTATAATTTATCCCCTTCTTTTACGAGTATTTCGATATTCATCTGATTGATAACAGTTACTTTTACAAATCACCTCTCAACTTGCTTTAGTGATTCGTTTCTGAATAATCAACCGTATTCAAGTTCTATATTGATAACAACCGTGTATTCAATTTACCACAGTTTTTATTGTCTTTTCAAAACACTGATGACTGATTATATAGCCAAAAGACTTACAAACATATCTTTAATTGAATCTGAACTCTTTAAAATTACCTGGAATGATAGAAATATAAATTTTCCGAACGCCATTTTCCATATCAAGCAAAACAATCCTATATTTAGATAAAGGTAGATAAAGCTAGATAAACTTAAGGATTCTAGCTTGTTAGCTTCCAGCTAATTGCAAAATAAAATTTATCACTTGAATAAGTTTGATTTTTTGTGAGGCCGACATTGAAAGCAAATAGCATTTTCTTTGTGAGTGCGTGAGTATCATCCATAGCTATGCAGTCCATGTCCAGTCCACATCTCTTAGATCATGTCGAACATTGTCACAGGCTGCTGCTCTTTCTTTCTTCTGGCATCCTTCACTACGTGTGCTATCTCTTTAGCTTCAAGCATTGCTTTTTTATGTGCTTCATCAGTTTATCGAGTTCATCATTATATCTTATGTGATATTCTCTGTGTTCTTGCACTAGTTCAAATATTTATCTCATATCCTTTTTTAAATACTGCCGATTTGCTTGTTTCGGTATTAAATAACCTAAGGA